AAGTACCTGTTTATCTCAAAGAGTCTATAATTCTTTTAATTCCAGGATTTATTTTTCCCTCCATTACCTTTCCCTACTTCTACCATTATTTTGACATAAATAGCTTTAAATCTCATAGTTTCCACTTGGTAGTATAAGCCTAGGACACAGCAGGCACACAATAAATGCTTTTTGTTGGTGGTGGTGATAAGGAATTGGATCAAATGACCTAAATTTCCTTCTCACTCTAAAAGCCTGGGACTGTTATAGTTCTATCCAGGGAGAACTCAGTTGTGCTTGGATCATATAAAATACTTTAAAAAGTTATTATCCTGCAATCTTGAATACAAGCAGTGCTGAGAGGTATATGTCTGTTGATTTTAACCTTTGTTTTTCTTCTGGCAGTATCTTGATTAGGAAGCACTCAACAGACTTATAAGGCAGTGTTCATAAGGCAATTGAACAATCTTAACATAGGTAATCATAATAGACCTAATTGAATTTGAGGCTCATGGCATCACTAGAGAATGACTTTTATCTATATGCATTCTACTTGTTAGATGGCAGGTGATAGTATAGACATGGAAGTAATCCAGAAAAGTATTTTCTCTCTATCTTGCAAGAACTAATCTGAGTAATTTAAATACTATGTAGTTAATGGGTTGCGGGAAACGAGTTAAGTCGGCTCGCGTGAATTGCGCGTACTCCGCGGGAGCCGTCTTAAACTCGGTTCATATAGATTTGCGGTGGAGTATGGGAAACGTGTAAACTCGGGCCGATTGTAACTGCGTATTACCAAATATTTCATTTCAATCGAACCCATACTTCAAAAGATATAGGCATTTTAACGCGCCATCTTATATTTTGGCGGGAAATTCACCCGCAACCCAAGTGTTAACATTCCTGGTATTAGTTATGTAGGAAAAAAATGTATAAAATAAGAAAGTAAATTATGGTATCACTATGTGATAAAATATAATAGGCATAAACAGACACTAAAATGAAGTACTGTTATACGAGATGACATAGATGAACCTCGAAAGCATTATGCTAAGAAGACACTAAAATCCACATACTGTATGATTCCATTTATGTGAAATGTCCAGAATGGACAAATCTAAAGAGACAAAAAGTAGATCATAATAGTGGCTTCCAGGGAAGAAAGAGGTTATTGAGAATGACTGCTAATGGGTGCATGCTTCTTTTGGGAGTGATAGAAATGTTCTGAAATTAGAAAGTGGTAAAAACCACTGAATTATACATTTTAAGATGGTGAATTATATTCCCAAAAATAAGAAATAAATTGAGAATTAATTTTGAAATAGTTTTTGAAATATGAGACAATAATCAGGACATGGTGAAAACAGCAAACTATAAAATTATACTCACAATTTTGTCTCAATATTAGCAAAATAATTATAAAAAATAAATCAGAAAAAAAAAAACAAGATGACGGCATAGGTAAACACCAGAGATTGCTGCTTAGCACAACCACTTCAAGAATACAACTAAAAGATAGAACGGACATCATCCAGAACCACAGGAAGGCTGGCTGAGTGGAAATTCTACAACTAGAAGGAAAGAGAAAAGCATACCGAGACTCAGAGGAGCTGCGGTGCGAAAGTAAAGTACAGAGGTATGGAGGCGCACGCGGAGAGGGCTGGTGGCTGAGGACACAGTTGTCTTTTTCAATCGGTAGGGAGTCTCAAGCTCTGAGCTCCATTTCCAGGCGAGTCTCTGGGGACCCAGACTTATACGAGAGAAACTGGACTGTCTGGCATCAGTCGGAACTTGAGGGCAGCTTTCTCTCGGAGGTGCTTGCAGCGATTGCCGGGACACTGAGAAGCAGGGCCTCTGAGGGAAGCCATAGCTGCTTGCTCCACCGTGTTGATCCCCTGGGACCCCTGCCCCGCCCAAGCTGTGTGCGCTGGCTTTTGCATATGAAAGGCCTGGCCCTTTGCAATCTGAAAATTACCTAACAAACTTGCAGTTGGCCCAAGGCCCCAGGGCAACTTGCATTGCTTCACAGCTGAGCTCCTGCTGGGTAGCCTCAGGCAGAGGCTAGATTAGCACCTCCTTAGAGATCCAGGAGCCAGTGTGCTCGGTGGTCAGAGTGGGACCATGCAGATTGCAGCTCCTCAGATCCATAAAGGACACACTTCAGGGTGCAGACTCAGTGAGCACCAAAGCCCCACTGAAGCAAGTCTTGCCCCGGAGGGGTGTTTCCAGCACAGTTCTCCCACTGCAGACACAGCTGATTCTCACAGCCAATTGGCCTGGAGGTCAATTCCTCCCAGTGATACCTACAACA